GACTATCAAAGGAACTAAGGCCTCCTTACATGTCTAACAGGAACAGATTCCACAAATCTGCAAGGTCGGCCCAATGCCATTTGCCCTATGGGTAAAAATAGAGGCAAAATTTAAAAAATCAGGAGGGTGGAAAGCAAAGGAATCATCAAACCGGTCCAATTTCTGGAATGGGCAGCACTGGTCGTACCAATTGTGAAGCCTGACGGGTCGATTTGCCCTTGTGCGGATTTCAAACAAATGGTAAACTGCTGGATAAATACACAATCCCTTACACAGAGGATTTATATGCAAAACTGGCAAGGGAGGTGGGGTTGGGGGGGTTCTGCCCTTCACGAAGCTGGACATGAGCCATGTGTTTGCAATTGCGGTCAAATGAGGAGTCGCAGAAGTATGCTGCAATCAATAACCATAAGGGCTTATATCAAAGACTTCCCTATGGGGTATCACCACCCTGTGCCATTTTCCATCGGACGATGGAAAACATTTTACAAGGTCTACCCCAGGTCACCATTTATCTGGATGACGTGCCGATAACCGGGAAGAACAATAAAAAACATTGAGAGAACTTGGACATGCTGCTTATACATTATTCAAGACAGGTGTACACCTTGGGAGGGAAAAACGTGTTCCAGGTACCCCAAGTGACCTATGTGGGCTACAGAGTTGACAAGACTGGGTTACACCTGTTGGAAGATAAAGTGAGGGCGATCAAACATGCCCCGGCTCCCACGTCAGTACCAGAGCGTAGGACTTTCCTTGGGTTGGTGAATTATTACATCTGTGACCTGGGCTTCATCCTGGCACCCTTACACCTGCTGTTGAAAAAGGCTCAGCCTTGGAAATGGTCTTGTAGCCAAGCTGTAGCCTTTTTGGGAAATGAAGAAGTAGCTATCATCGTCCAAGGTATTGGCACATTATGACCCCAAGTGAAATGTGGTACTGACATGTGATACCTCCTTGTATGGAATAAGGACAGCGTTGGCTCATCGGTGACCCAACAGAGAGGAACACCCACATACTTCCCAGACTTTGGCTGATGCCAAACAAAGATACGCCGAGATAGAGAAGAAAGGCTTGGCAGTCATCTTGGGGATGAGGGAGTTCCACCAGTACCTTAATGGATGTAAATTTGTAATAGTAAAAAGGACCACAAACCCCTGCTAGGGATATTTAAAGAGGACAGGGCCCATAGTTTCACGTCAAATTCAGCAGTGGGCTCTTATTCTGAGTGGGTACAATGACAAGTGGGAACGCCATCTGGAAGGCCAAGTGGCAAATCCAGATGCCTTGAGCTGCCTACCACTGGCATCAGGAAAACCAATGCCGGATACGACACTCTAAGGTGAGACAGACAGTTTACCTCAGGGAATGAAGTTTGGTGTTGAAACCACGGGAATTGCCCCGCTTGTATAACAGGCACGGTCAACACGAGCTCAGATCCTGTAACGCACAAAGTTCAAGTAGGAGAAGCGGTTCTGAACAAGAACATCGGCCTCACAAAAGCTGGAACAAAGCATACTCAGGCCTTCAGAGCAGTCGGCAAGGAACCTAATGTCATAGAAACCTCCGCGGATGGGATGGACACAGCAAACGTCGCAGCCTCAACGCCATTACCTCTTGAAGACAAAGAATTTCAGCTCAGGCACTCCAGGTGCAAGAGGCAGGCTACGGCCTGGTACACACCGCCAGTATCCCAGGCAGAGTCGGAAGAACCGCACCTCGTGTGAAAACTCCCAAGAATACGCTGCAGGAAAAAGAACAGGCCTACGTGCCAGGATATGAGGGGAAGGGATGTAAGGAATTGGAACAAGGTCAGCCAGGTGGACCTCACAGAATATGAATTTCTTGGTTAACCTGTTCCAATCAGGAAGTCCTGGCTGACAGATGTAAGCAAGAGCATCAGGAGTTCTGTTCGTTCTAGCAGCCAGCTCTGAGCTAGCTGGGTCGATGTCACATACCACACACATATAAATAAAGGGTGACCTGGTGACAGGATATCAGCCTCTGCAGAGTTATTTCATCCATTCTCTTCTCCTCCCTTCGCACCCCCCCATGACAATTGACCCCCTTCCCAATCAAGAATCTGAGAGAAGGCAGGTAAGTAGCATCACTTGGAATGGGAGCTGTGACTTTTCACAACAGCGTGGTCACTATTTTTGGAAAAGGAAACTGTTCATAATGCAATAATTATTCTTATGACGTTACAGACAGAACCTGGCATATTCACGTAACGTTTGAAATATTCGCAGGGTGGTAGGTGGAAGTTACCCACATTAAAAATAAAAAGGCATTTCAGGAAGGGCATCAGTTTTGTATTAAGATTTTTAAATGATGAAAAACGTGTTCAGCTTGCGCAGGATCCTTTCAGCACAGACACGATCACACAATACAGCAGTCTCTACGAAGGCCGAGTTTCATCTACGTCAATCAACTAATTTTCAAAAAACCACACACCCCACAGAAAACCACTCTGTCAAATAAGGGGAAAACATGAGCAAAGAGATTAGATTTCCACACGATGCTGCTGTCGACTGTGCACTACTCAAACAGCCAGCTGCTTCTTTTAATGCAACTGTGACTTTTTCCAACACAGCTCATTGGGGATAACGTGATCCATTTTGTGAATCAGGTATGGAGTTTCTTTCACTTCAAATCATTTCTGTGAAGGGGCCCAAACGCTGCTGGTTAATCAGGAGGTACAATGCTTACATATGGAAACCAAACTAAACTTTTTATGTTGAAAAGTAGACTGTGTAGAAAAACAGTGGAGTAAACTTGAGATAACAGTGTGTAGAGCTGGATGAACACAGCAGGCCAAGCAGCAGAGGAGCAGGAAGGCTGACGTTTCAGGCCTAGACGAACTCATTTTTGTGAATGAAGACTCCTACACTTCCAAAAGGTGGTGATCGTCTAGAGTTTTTTTTTGTTTTGTGTACGTAAAAGAAATTCTGACAGGTTCTGTTAACTGCATGCATAATCGGAGTGCTTTAAGATTCCTCCCTCACCCTTAGTTGTTGGATTTATTTTGTCACTATAGGTTGTATTTTTTTATATATCAGTTTCACTTTTGATAAAAGTTTGCGGTGTTTTTACATGAAGTGTTTGACAGGATGGTTTAGCTGTATTGAGGATGGCCTCTCTTATGAGGTAATGGGCCTGACAATCCTGCAGAAACACAGCTAAATTTGTCACCACAACGCATGAAAACAGACAAGACCAGAGCCACTAGCTTGAGAGGACTGTGCAAGTCAAGTTCACATTGTTTGAAACAAAAACAGAACTCGCTGGTCTGGCAGCATCCGTGTACACAAAGCAGAATTAACATTTCAAGTCCAGTAAGCCTTCTTCAGAACTAGTGTTGTGTTTATCACCTTCCAGCCTTTTCATCGTTTTTAGAATCAGATTATGGGTTCCTAATTGTGCGATGAATTTAAATTGTTGCGATCTTACCTATATGAGGCAGAGGCTGAACTCCTTACTTACCAGGTATGTATGCAGGTTAGGTGGATTGGCCACACTAAATTACCCATAGTGTCCAGGGATGTGCAAGCCAGGTGGATTAGCCATCAGAAATGTAGGTTTACAGGGATAGGGTGGAGGAAAGAGTCCAGGTGGGACAGTCTTCAGAAGGTCAGTGTGGACTCGATGGGCTGAACGGTCTGCTTTCTGCACCGTAGGGAAGCTGTGTATCATAGAGATCCAGAGACAACACAGCCAAATTGAGTTTCTCAATACAGGGGATTCCAGAATTCTAAATCGGTTTTGCTTTTAGTATCCTATGAAAAACATTGCTGCTTTTAAAACACTTTTGCTTTCTATTCCTGTAAATGTACAACTGCAGCAATACATAGTGCACAAAAATGATTTCAATCACTCTCCCAGTTATCATCAAACTACCCGACACGCAAAACGTTTGCTCCATTTGGAGGATTTGTTGCTTGTATGCTCTTTATTGTTGCAACCACCACAATGTTTATCTGAACCCTAATCTATTTCACTTCCTCCTCTCATGCTGTGGCAACATTTCTTTCTGTTTCACTGATTTCCTTTTCACAGAAGCAAAATACTTAAAAGGCTCTCTATATATTGGTTTAGAGAGAATGTTTCTTAAAGAAAGAGAAAAGTAGTGGAAAATCACCTGGAATCACTAGGCCATCATAAGCAACGTACTACCATCCAAACACCAAACGCTAAACAACGAACAAATTGGGGACAGACGACAGGAACTTGAAACTAAGCTTGTAAAAATTAAGGTTATCTTTGTAGCAGAGATATTTTTGCTAGCAGGGCATTGAAGAAGACTTGATATTGTTCATAAACACAGTTCAAACTTTTGAAAGACTGACACACATATTTCTGATAAATTGAAACAAGACAACTGCTTATCACAGACATGAGTAATATGGGAAATTCAGTCTGAGAGTACTCTGTAACTGGGAATGTACAATGTGGTTTGCATGTAAAAGAACTTCAATAATGAAACAACAGGCAAGAAACCGGTATTTAATTTCCAAAAAGGTCGTTAATAGCATTCCACTGAAGTGCAGGTGACACATTTTCTGAGTCATCAAGCATTTCCGACAAGCTGCTTCCTCCAAAGGGAAACGGGGGACAGTAGGTAGGTAGCATACTTCCTTTCTCAAGTGTAGATGAGCATAAGGGTTTGGAGACTTAAGCAGGCTGACTCTATTGTTCAGTGTTCACATCCTATTCGTAAACACAACAACTAAACTCGAAGGGAAAATTACCTTCACTTAGATACCGGCTGCACTCCAGGTCAGTAAGAATCTCTCAACCTTAGCTTCACAAACCCATCAATGTCGCTCTTCTATAGATTGTACCTACCATCTCCAACCTCTCATAATAAGCCAGAATTGCATAAACAATGAAATGTCTTTGACTTGTAATCATTCCAAAAGCCAACTTCCAATGTCATTTGTGTTTTCTATTTCAGGTCTTAATACATTAGGCTTCACACTTTTTGTGTGAAGTTACACACCATGAGTTCTGCGCCAAACAGCTCCCATATGCCATGTATAATTAATAACAATATGGAAGCTTTTACTTATTTTTATTACTTAATCTTTCTGATTGGTATTATTGGGAGTTGCATCGCACTTTGGGCATTCATAAGCCAAAGGAAAGCCAGAAAATGCCTCAACATCTACTTAATTAATTTACTGACTGCCGATTTTCTACTGAGTCTGGCTCTGCCTTTCAAAATAATTGTTGACTTGGGTGTTGCTCCATGGGGTTTGAAGATCTTCCACTGTCAGGTTACAGCATGCCTCATCTATGTTAACATGTATTCATCGATTATTTTCCTGGGCTTTGTGAGCATAGATCGATACATTCAGCTCTCAGGAAACACAAGGTTCCAGCGAATTCAAGAACCAGGTTTTGCCAAAATGATGTCTCTGGTGATTTGGGGGATGGTCCTGCTGCTGATGGTGCCTAATATGGCAATCCCCATCAAAAGAATAAACCCAAAACCTCTTCTGAAGTGCGCAGAGATCAAAATTACGCTGGGATTGCACTGGCATGTCCTCACCAATTTTATCTGCATTGCAATATTCATGAACGTTTCAGTGATGATACTGACATCCAACTTCCTTGTGGTGAAGAAACTGTATAAAAACAGGGACAGAGAAATGCAGAAAGATGTACAGCAAACTCTGAGGCATGTTTTCATACTGACCAGCATCTACATCATTTGTTTTGTCCCATATCATATTGTCCGGACTCCATACACTCTCAGTCAGTACAAACCAGCAGGAGACTGCTCTGTGCAACGATCCTGGTTTCTCGCAAAGGAATCCACCTTCCTCCTGGCTGTCCTCAATCTCTGTTTTGACCCCATTTTGTATTTCTACCTCTGCAAATCATTTCGGTCAAAAATTACTGAAACATTTGGATTGACCAAGGAGTCCAGGCACACGAAAAGACAGCATGAAGAGGCAGCAAATGAGACCAACTTAACACTGTGCAATTAAGATGGATAGTCTCCGGTCAATTCTCCTGCCCTTTTGCCCCCTAAACTGTACAAAGAAAAAAAAATATTAAAATTAATGGCACAGATTTTGAGCTTTTCGAAGACTGTTTGAAACTTTTGCTGTGATGCCACAGTTTCCTTGACAAATAAACCATGTGAAGAAGAAAAAAAAACAAACATTCACAACATTTTTACTTTGGGGTTTTAAAACTTGGACCAAAGCACAAATTCTCTAAGTCTACAACACAAGGTAAACAAATTCAAGAAAACTAGTTTGACAAAAAAAAATACTCAATGTTAAAAGTGAAATTGAGACAACGGATAGATTAATATAATGCTTGTCACCTTTGAGAAAGATTAATTCATGCAATGTGTACAAAAGCGTGGACTTATATTATTCACGTTTAAGTGTTATATCTTATATATTGTATTTAATTAAACTTGAGTTTAATTAAAGATTTGATTAAATAAATGATTGTCACAATGGTCAGGGCATCCCCTTGAAGAGCAACGGCCTCCCATTTGTTCTCCAATTTCCTGACTCATTTCGGCATCATTTAAAATTTGCAAGTACTCAGTTCCGTGGAGATACGGTGCTTGGTTGTGTAGACTGGATTCATCGTTGGGCAGAAGTGGATACAAGTGGTAGGTGTGGTTTGGGAGCAAAAGAAACAAGCAAAATGAGTCACCCACTTAAAAGAAACAGGAGCTGGTTTTGTTCAGTGTTTGCACACTGATCTCAGGAGCAGAAGTTGATGGGTTTCAATAACTCGACTGCATTGTCTAAACTGATAGCTTTTTCTGATGAACCATTAAAACCCATGGTTGCCCTGCACGAACTAAATCAAAGACACCGATTCCACCAGTCAAGTGAAACAATGAAGGGGAGTTTAGAGATAGTAGGAACTGCCGATGCTGGAGAATCTGAAATAACAAGGTGTACAGCTGGATGAACACAGCAGTTTACCCGATTGTCCTGCTCAACACGGCTACCTTATTTAACACCAGCAAGCCGATTAATCTCACTAATCTCTCAACTGCTCTCAGGATCTCATTGTGCCCAATGTGCCTGTTAAATACCGTGCACAACAGAGACTACACCTCTAAAGCTAATCAATTCATTTGCAAAAATGTTAAAGGGACAGTCTCAGAGTCTGACTCAGTATAAATGCAACCTCTTCCTCAGTGTACATTTTAAATCTGTGCTACAGGTTTCTAATTGTCAATCACTGCAAAGCGAGGGTAGATATTGAGACAAAGAATGCGTTTTCAAAAACTAAGCTGAGGACGCAAAAGGATAAATAAATTAATCAAGAGCACAGTCATTTCTTTGAAGAAAATGAAAACTACATTTTCTGCATAGCTTTTAAAGTATGTAATAATTAGTGCAGAAAATAGCTTTAGGCTTTGTTTGAGCATTGCTGGAGGTCCTGCACTTTGATTGAGCAAAGACATTCTGATGTTACTCATAGCATCATTTTCTCCTCAGTGTGTACTACCTGATTTAACAAATGCAGTGCAAGAAAAGGTGATTGTTTTACCAAATCTGGCTCACTCTGGCACAGGGACGGAATGTCAAGGTTCAAGTCCAGCATGCCCCGAATATGGGTCATAACATGTCTGCACAGTTTGATGAAAATTTTTTGATACCTTTCTAAACCAAATTTATCCTTTTCATTCCTTCTCCCTTAGTATCTATTTTCTAAGCAACTTGTTCACAGATTTTATAACACACCTCTGGAGCAATTGGGACTTGAAACCAGGTCTCCTGTTCCAGAGGTAGAGACACTACCACTGTGCCATAAGAACGATGTATCCTCTCTCTTTATACTAGATGTTGAATGGAGGAGCAGTTTTTCCTCAAAATCCGTACTTGTTAGCTCTATTGGTAGTAGTTTTATAAACTGATCCCTACTTAAGTCTTCAGCTAAATCACATTTACTCCGAAATGATACAGAAAGGTGTTCACTTGCCGTATCTTCCTTTTCTGTCACATGTATCTCTCTTCCTTCAACCCTTCTCCTTTGCCTCAAAAGCTTTCAAAAATCAGACGATAATTATTCCGCACAAACGTTAGCCTAACCTATTGCGGGGAGTGATAGTTTGGAAAGCAGCAGGTGTAGTCCAAACTGAGCCACCCCACTTTTGAGAGCAGGACTGTGTTGGTACAGTAACCTTTGGAAAGAACTCTCCTTTGCCCTCCCATCCCACTATGGGACAGCTAATCACAGACTTGAAACATTTAACCCTGCCTTTCACCTTCAATTCCTCCTGACCTGTTGTTGCTGGCATTTTCCTGTTTCAATGGGAGCTCCTGAGGGTCCATGAAAATATTTTGGTCAAATACTGGAGTTAAAATTAACAATGACATTTGTCGTGATGCATTGCCTTTCCCCTTCCCCGAAGTGGGGCAAGTAGCATGATTCAGACTTCACCTGGTACCAGCGAGGCCAGCCACAATAAATCTATCAGCCACAAATCACGTACAGAAGTGAAAACATTGTGTAGTCTCGAGTTAAAGAAAGATGACATGATTGGCAAGTTGCCAGCATTCTTCATCATCCTTAAGTGACCTGAAGAAGGTAGTAGTCAAAGACATTTTTGAACTACTGGCAGTATGTCTTGTCATGATTCTCTGGGATAGTGTACTGGAAATCAAGCCCCAGAGTTGTCAAAGTTAGAAGATTTTGTAAGAAGTACACAAAGTTGCCCAATTTACCTGTCTTTTAGAATAAGGTTGACAAAAAGCACAGAACAGGTTTCTGTACTTAATAAAAAATCAGCAACAATTATGAACCATCAACTTATAACTATTAGTTGAAACTCTAACTTACCTATAAAACTCCCCTTACTCCAACACATACACAACAAAAACATGGGTGTTATGGGCAGAAGGAAAGACTAGGAAGTCAGTTCAATGTTTCGTGTCCCTCAGTGGTCCCTTTTGACTTGTCAGGACCCACTTTTCAGAAGACCAATGGCTTCTTTGGCTAAATATTTACACCCACAACTTGGGTATTATTACATATTTATCGTATAGATGTTACAGATTATAAATAAATGTTAGATCAACTGTTCATTTTAATTCTGCAATTGAGAGATTTCTGTTAATTATAGCTGTTAGGAGATAGGAGGTAAAGGCCAAGATAGGAGGTAAAGGTGCAGATAAAAGTAAGGTCACAGATCAGCCCTGATCTTATTGAATGCAGGAATAGGTTTGAGGGATAACATTCTCTTATCTTGTCTCTTTTAGTAGCCTATGGAGAATAAAAATGAGCAGGGGCTAGAAACACACACCAGCAATACCATACCTGACATACATCATGAATTACTCAGAAGGCTTGTGTGCACAATTGAACATTCTGAAAAAAAAGTGCTCAGGCCAGCGGAGAACAAGACACAGATGACTACTAAATGATGCATTATTAGCAAGCTGTCTAACTACTCTCTATGTCATCAAACTGTCATTTCCCAAGTTAAAGGCATATACAGCCTTTATAGCCACATTCAAGATTAAACACCTATACCACACAAACAAACAATCAGGAAACATTTATCTTAGTGAGACTGTACTCTGCTGACCAACTTCAAGCAGTTACAGAACACTGTGCACAGAATTCTTTCAATCCGAGTGCTCAATATGTGGGAACATGGTTCAACCTAGCAGACTCATCATAAGCCAAGTAGTAAAAAAATGTCCTTTGCTTCCCAATTAAACAAATAAAACAGGTTGGTACAAAATTTGTTAAATAAAAAAAAAAACAGAGGTGGCCAACAACCACATACCTTTCCTCAATACAACCTGTACATCTTTGCAATAAAGATTCCAAACTCAACAAAAGTGCGCAATTCTTTGGTGGGTTTTTACAATGCCCTGCCATGAATTCACCACCAGAGTCCCATTAATTCCAGCAAAAACAGACTAACTACCATTTACCCTGTGTTCTGGGCCATTTCTACCTAATCTATGATCACTACCGATAATTCTTGCACACATTGGTCTAGCAGCATTTGCAGCAAGCTCAATTTTCTGAGACATCTTGACGCGAAACCTCCGTTTTGAGATATTCTGGTGGAAATGAGAAAACGAAGTTGTAGTAGTTGCGATAACTTAAGCACAAACTTGCATTATCTGCACCTGTTGCTCTCTTTTTAAAGTATGCTTAAAACCCACCCCCTATCACCCCACACGCACTTGATACGAACAATTTTGTCATGATGCCAAAACATAGACAGGCACCACTGAAAAGATTATCACATTAAGAGACACAGAAAGGATATGGTCAAATTTTCTTCTCAGCCTTCTGCAGAAGATTAGGCTCCGCAGAAAACTTAGCAACACTAAACTCACATCTAATCAATTAATCTAAACATTTGACTTCTCAAGATAATACAATCAAACACTGACACACAATCTGACAAAACTTATTGTTGCGTGTTCCTCATCTGCCTTTGGAAACATTCTTCCTTTGGCTATTGGTACAGCAGTTGCTTACCTGGGGAATGGGAAAGTGAGTGGCATATTGAAGGTGTCGAGGGTGCTCGTAAGTGCATGGGAAGATCAGCTCCTTCTGCTTTTCTTTTCTGATTGGCTTCTCATCTCTTGTGGTGCCTTGTTCCAAGGAAGGATTTGTATTGTGCTCACATGTCAAAGAATCTCCAGGCATCGGAGAGAAAATCTGTAAACAGAACGGCCAATAAGGAAATGAGCGCTTTTAACAAACTAAAACACACATAGCTAATAATAAGGATACACTTCTACACTTTAGAAAAACAGAAAATAGGAGTTGGCCACTTGGCCCTTTCAGCCTGCTCCAACTTTCAACATGATCATGGGTTGATCATCCAACTCAGTCCCCTGTCCCAGTCTCTCCCATGCCTTTTGATCCCTTTAGCCCAAAAAACTTGAAGATTCAGACTGATAATCTCACTTTATGCCAATCATTCAGAATATTGTAAATAATAAGCTTGTGTTACAGAGTCACAGGTGTACGGCACTGAAACAGACCCTTCAATCTGACTCATCATGCTGACCAGATATCCTAAATTGATCTAGTCCCATTTGTCAGCATTTGGTCCACATCCCTCTCAACCCTTCCTATTCACATATCCATCTAGATGCCTTTTAAATGTTGTTATTGTGAACAAAATTACAATACACTCTTGTTGAAGTAATGTGTAACCAATGCAAAACATTGCTATGGGGATGGATTAATTTGTTCTTGAACGTCCACAGGTCAAAGCTCTTGATCACATTTCTGACAGTTTTTAAAAAGAATGTTTTGCGGGATCGGAGGATCACGAGCAAAGCTGGAGTTTATCAACCATCCCTGGTCACCCTGAGGTGGTGGTCTTTAGGGAGCAGTAATTATTACATTCACTTCACAGCATGACCATATTGGCATAAGACTAAACCTGATCATGACAGCAAGTTTCATTCCCAACAGGCATTAGTGAATACTTGAAGTTATCCTTAAAATTCAAAACCTAACAGAGTTGTCAATTTCACAGTCTTTCTTCCAAGATTAGAATAGATACACACAATATTCTTTGAAGGTGACCTTTACAAGGGGAATGTAATGAAATATATTTCAAACAATTCAGGACTAGCTAGAAAGTTCCAAACTGGAGTAGCACATTATGAAACATATATACAGTGCTCTGAAGAATGGTCACTGGACCTAAAATGTTAACTCTGCTTTCTCTCTATAGATACTACCACATCTGCTGAGTTTTTCTGGCAATTTCTGCTTTAGTTTCGGATTTCCAGCATCTGCAGTTCTTTGCTTTTATTGAACATATATACTACTTGCCACAATATTTGTTGCATTGAAATCGCAAGTGGCTGCCATCCAGGAAGTGCCTCTTCACTTTTAACGTCTCAGTATCAGGATGGTAGATTTTTGTTTTGTGTGTTTATGGTTCTACCACCAGAACAGCAGCGCTGCAAGAAATGTTTGATCCCACAGGCAGAGAGGAATATTTGGTACATCAAAAACCTCGGTTAGGCTGGTGCTTATTTTTCTAAAATGAAAACAGAAGGCACTGAAAAAAACTCTAAGTCTGGCAGTGTCTGTAAAGAAAGACAAAAAAAGAGTTAACGTTTCCTGTCCAATATGGCTTGTCTGGTGAACTGCAATGGGAGAGAAGAGCACAACTCTTCAACAAGCGTCATATTGGACCCAAAACAGTAACATGACAGTAACAGCAACAACGCTTCTCTCTTTCCACAGATACTGCCAGACCTACTGATTTCATCAGCACTTTCTATGTCTACTTCAGATTTCCAGCATTCACAGTATCTTGGTTTTATTGGAAGTGTTTTTTTTTTCTTTTGAATGTGTGGGATCATGCCTCAGTTCAAATTATTGGAAGCAACTTAAAGATGCCAATAAAAAACTATTGAAATATAAAATACACACAAGTTGCCCTAAAATAAAAAGATTTAATGGATGTTTTAAAATGAACTGCAATTGTTATTAACGAGTTTGGCATTTCCTGAAAATCAATTTCAGAGTTAAATTTCTTCCATGGGGACTGCATTTAGAAACAACTGGAACATGTCCAAAAAAAAAAAGAGCTGTTCTTCAAAATAATTAGTGGGTAATAAAAGGTCAATAAGACCTGTAATTGCAAAGAGCTCCAACCTCTCAGGCTTGATTAACACTCAGTAAGGACTTCAGAACTTGAGCAAAGAGGTGGTTTCACAGTACTACAGCTGCCTTCAGTAAGCAGATAATACTCTTTCCCGAGATAGCAAAAACTGCAGATGCTGGAGTCAATACAGTGTGGAGCTGGAGAAACACAGCAGGTCAGAAAGCATCAGAGGAACAGCAAAGTTGACATTTTGGGTTTACACCCTTCATCAGGACACTTTCCTCTTTCTTCCAACAAGAAGCTTAAGGGCCTAATTGATTTACTAGCAATTGCAGTTATGGAAATGAAAACAGTACACCAACTTCCATCGGCCAAACATACACACTCAAAAAAGGGGCCTTTGTGGTGCATTGGTACTGTCCCTACCTCTGAGCTAGGAGGCCTCAGAACTATGTCACAGCATGTCCTCAATCAGGTTAATTAAAATATCTACAGAAGCTCATTCCTGTGTTGCCCTGCTCTTTTAGAAGCTTTGTCAGCAAGGCTCTCATTGAGAGGCTCAACATCAACAGATGATGTGAAATTAACAGTACCGATGGGATATATACACACCAACCTTACTAGCAAAAGTTAGGGTTCATCCCTGGTCAGTAGATTTTTTAAACAGCATGATGAATCTTAACTGCCAGTAAATAGCAACTCCGGCACTGAAAATCAACTTTTATTGTGAACATTCTTTCACAAATTAATTATTGTTTTTGATGTTTGGATCAGTCTGACTTTCCTTTCCCTGCATTTCAGTTCCTGTATCTGATTTGACATTGATAAATAAACTAACTTCCACGTCCCACTTCTTAGTGTTCTCCTTGTTAATGATTCTTTAACCGTTAAGCGACAAACTCATGACTGTCAGTAAATCTTATGGATCTTTACAACATCCTTTAGGGATAGGAAATCTGCCATGTTTACCTGGTCTAACCTACATGTGACTCCAGATCCACAGCAATGAGTTTGATTCTTAACTGCTCTCTGGGCATTTAGGGATGGGTAATAAATGCTGGCCTAGCCAACGATGCCCACATCCCATGAACAACTTTTAAAAATCTGATTTCTTAAGATATACATAGTCACTTGCCCCGTTTACACAGGTGCCTGATTCCCTGGTTCTGAGGAAGAGTCACCGGACCAGAAACGTTAACTCTGTTTTGTCCTTCACAGATGCTGCCAGACCTGCTGAGCTTTTCCAGCAACTTTGTTTTTGTGTCTGACTCCCGGTCAAGGACACTGCTCTGAAATGGATTCTAACCTCAGCATTTTCAAACCAACAGAACACCTACGAACAAGTGTAGTGAATGGCTGGTGCCATTATTTGCTTACCACTGAGAACAAGAGCAAATCAATTGTTATTGAATGGTGTTCTTAAACCTCAATTCAAGGAACTTTTTTCACGGTCATACCCTACAGTAAACCAGAATTCTGCAGTGTACAGTTAAATTGCTGGAAAAGCTCAGCAAGTCTGGCAGCATCTGTGGCAAGAAATCAGAGTTAACGTTTCGAGAAATGATGAAGGGTCACTGGATCCGAAATATTAACTGATTTCTCTCCACAGATGCTGCCAGACCTGCAGCGCTTTTCCAGCAATTTTGGTTTTGTTTCTGATTTCCAGTATCCACAGTCATTTTGGTTTTTACTCAATCGGGTTGGCCACACATTAAATAAATTTGCTGTCACAAGTTTAACTAAAAGGATTTATTTTCAAATTTAAAGATAATTTACTCAATGAAAATGCCAATGATTACTGAGTTGAGGAAATACATTTTAAAATAACAGAGAAAACTTGCAGATAAATTTCATACAAACTATGATTAGTTGTTGGAAAACTACCACATTCTTTGGGGGTGAAAATGTTTGGCACAGATCAATGTTTTAGCATTTTTTAAAACCCCAGAGTTGAATTACTCAATCACACAAAATCACGGTCCCAATTTATATCATTCCTTCAGGTCTTCAGTAAACCAGCTAATCCACCAGGTGAAGGCTTCTCTCTCTCTGTGAAGCTTAAGTATGTTTGGTTCCTTTTCAGGCCAGCTGAAAGCTTTTTACTTTCTTTCTCAACATCTGCTGAATTCTCCCTGCAAACCACGTCTCCCGGAAACAGATTCCAGGAGAGTTCTCACCCTCTGTCTCTCAATCCCCCCACTTCAAAACAACTCAGGGAGTAGGGGGTAAAAAACAGAACTTAAGAGTTTCCGTACAAGAGTTTTCAACCTACTGCAAATTCAGGTCCGAAGTCAGTTTTGAAGTCATTCTTGTCCACTTCATCAAATAAATTCGTAGGACCCGAATCCATGTCCATGTGCTCTCCAAGTCCCTGGTCCTACAATTAGAAGATTAGTTTAGTTCAAAACTAACAAGAGTCCAAACATATGCATCGATAGGAATGCATTTAATCCTTGCCTCCTTGGAAAAGTCTGTGTTACTCCAAGGGGGATTAACAAATTACCTACATCTTCATTCTCTTTTCATAAACAGGATCTGGATTCTTTTAAAAAGAAAATTCCAAAACATGCAAATGATTACAATATTGTCAAACAACAAGTGGAATTTTGCACCCATCTGCTCTGTTTCTCCTGTTCAAAGACACTGTACACTACAGGTGTCCATACCCAAGGTAGTCACCCAATTCCACACCTCGCGTTCTCCTACACTCCATGCTCCCAACCCTCAGGAGGGACAACTGCAAGCCGCACCTTAGCCACCCCCTCCCCATTCCTCCAGCAAAACCCTTCACAGAAACCAGCCATCCCGGACATGCTGAAACCACGGACCCAATCCTTGTGCCTCGATGGCTGAGAAAGTCATTTTCTTTATCAGTATGTGAATCAAGGGATGTGAGGAAATGCAGGAAAGTGGAAGTGAAGATTGTCAGATCAGCCATGATCCTATTGAACGAAGGAGCAGGCTCAGGAGGCCGAATGGTCTACTCCTGTTCCTATTTCTTATGATCTTAACTAGGCATCTGCGAACATGGCACCCCTTTACTGGACACTCATTGCAGTGCCAGTAGAGGCAGGGCTGGGACTAGACCCGATTGCTACCATCCATTTGATTGGTTGGCTATTCTTGAAGGCAGGGCTTCCTCCCAGATCATGGATGAGGGATTATCCTGAGCCAATCAAGAGCCCCAATAGCTACAAAATTGCTGCAGCACAACTCAGCCAAACAGGGCTACGTCTCACGTCTAATCTGTGGGAGACGACCACTGTGGTGTAAGTCTCCCTTATTTTGCTGGCCAGTGATGGCAGTGGTGAGGGAATAGTGAAGATGGAACAGCTCCTCTGTCTAGAGAGTCAGGTAGAGGTGGAATAAATACTGATGAAGTACCTGAGGTAAAGAGGCACACAGTCCTACTTTTGCCCAACTTAACCAACAAAAGCCTTGCAAAGATACACTGTTCTCAGCATTACACACTTAGAGTGGCTCTACAAACACTTTGAAAAATAAAAATCCAAAAAGGCCTGAAGGGATTTTTTTTTTTTTTTTTTTTTTTTTTTTTTTAAAATTCACTCACGGGATGAGGGCATCACTAGCTAAGCCAGCATTTATTGCCCATCTCCCCAAAGGGCAGTTAAGAGTCAACCTCGTTGCTGTGGGTCTGGAGTCACATGTAGACCAGACCAGGTAAGGATGGCAGTTTCCTTCCCTAACACAAATTAACAACTCAGGTGGGTTTTTCTGACAATCGGCAATGGATTCATGATCATCATTAGACTCTCAATTCCAGACTTTTTTTTTTAAAAACCAAATTCAAATCCACTATCTTCCACAGCAGGATTTGAACCTGGGTCCCCAGAACATGTCCTGGGTCTCTGGTTTAACACTCCAATGATAATGCGACTAGGCCATCGCCTCACCAAGAAACACCAGGGAAGTTATACTCTCTTATTAAACCAACCGCTACATCCCACCATTGGCAAATTGACCTTAGCCCCTCAACTGAATTGGTGACTCACCTCTAGCCTACATCTGAAAAGACCCAACTAAACTACAAAGGCCAAATCTGCGAAGGTGCTGGCTAAGATTAGGGTTAGGCTTGTATCCTCTGGAATTTCAAATAATCATAAATGACTCAATGGAACCATGTAAGATCCTGAGGGAACTTGACCAGGTGGATGTCGAAAGGAGATTTCCTCTCTGGAAGAATCTTGGACTAGGAATATAGTTTAAAAATCCTTTATTCCTTCATGGCACGAGGGCATTGCTAGCCAGGCAGCATTTATTGCCCATCCCTAATTGCCCAGAGGGCAGTTAACAGTCAACCATATTGCTCTGGGTCTAGAGTCACATGTAGGCCTGGCCAGTTAAGGATGGCAGTTTCCTTCCCTAAAGGACATTAGTGAACCAGATGGGTTTTTCCGACAATCGACAATGGATTCACGGTCATCATTAGATTCTTAATTCCAGATATTTATGAATTCAAATTCCACCATCTGCCATGGCGGGATTCGATCCCAGGTCCCCAGAACACTATCTGGGTCTCTGGATTAACAATCCAGTGATAATACTACTAGGCC